TTTTTAAGTTTTTACTTTTTAGTATTTATGTGTATGAGTGTTTTGCCTGCATGCGTGAAAGTGCACCATGTGCATAAAACATCCATGGAAGCCAGAAGGCAGTGGGGATCCCCCTGGAACTGTTAGCTGTTGCTGGAAACTAAATTGGGGTCCTTTGCAAGAGCAGCCAGCACTCCTAACTGCTGAGCCATCTCTCCAGCTGCAAGTCCCACATCTTATCCTCTGGCTCACATTCTATCCCAGCCAGTCAGTCTCGCCTTGCATTTACTGCTGTTGTATTCTCTGATTTGGCAGCATGTCTTCAAGTTCAATAGAGTTCTGTTTTTAGATTGTTCTGATGGACAACGGTAAATGACTACTCTGTATCACTCTATATTCCTTGAATTTTACCAGTTCCAAAGAGTACTTTATATTGGATTCACATTTAGGGAATGCCAATTAAACCCAAAATGTATATGTATATATATATATAATCTCCCCATCCATATCCATGAGGATATTCTGCTTTCTATGGAGAAGAGATGAATGGTATTTGAGAATCAATCTGATGGGATGTTATTTCTCAAATTAGCCCAAATTCTCATTTTACCACAGGGAGGTTTCTAATCTCAAGTGGTTGCTCATAGTATCAAAACTTCTTAAATGGACAAATAATTATTAGGTCATCAAAATTATTAGGTCATCAAAATGTTCCAAATTGTGTATTATCTCAAAATTTGTATTCTAAATCTTTCATCTATAGAATAAATAAAAGCAATTTTGCTCAGGGTCTCTTTACTGTTTATGCTTTTAGTGTATATTCTACAAAATCAGATGTCTACCTTTACCAGTAAAGTATGGAATTATTTCATTTTAATTTGGGGAGACATAGCTTCTAACTGTATTAGTAAAACTCTGCCTTTTATCTGACCTACTTTTTCCTATATCTGAATCTCAGCTTAGCATTCCTCTTTAGCTACATTGAATGAGGGGGTTTTGCTACAAACTCATTTCCTCTCTTCTATCTTGGGTTGTGTGTCCAGGAGTCACTCTGTCTGGAATGCATTTCCCTTCCTTCACTGTCCACTTATGTAAATACATACCCTTCCTTTCAGACTCTGATCGCATGCCATTTATAAAACTTTCTCTAAACATCTCATTGTACACACACACACACACACACACACACACACACACACAGCTATTATTTTTTCTGTACTCTGATAATACACATAACTTAGCTCTCTGCATTCATTTTCTTCTCTTGAGGTTAGAAATCAAGGCATATCATTTCTTTTTTTACACAGAATCTAATCCAGCTCTTCCATAGTAACAGGTACTCCATGTACACTTATAAAAGGTTAATTGATTAAATAATTTCTGCCAATCATTGTAAAAACTGTTCTTAAAATCTGGAAGATAACATTATGATTCTCATATATAAGTTAATATCTGTGACCTTAATGACCCAAAGTAGATCTGCAAACATGCTGCCTTTTAAAGTTTAGTTTAGAAAGTTTTTCATGCGACAGAATGAAATCTTAAATCTAACTTTAAAAAAGAGATACGTGGGAGAAGAGAGTTCTGAATAGTTTTGCCAAAAGGTAACTCACATTTAGAATATAATATATTTAAATTAGGTGGGAGAAATAAAGCTAAAAATGTTCATCAGGATATATGAAAATTTAGCTCCTGTAATTACTTTTTTATAAACAAACCTTAGTCATTAGTTCACAGAACTGTAAGAACAGTTGCAGTAATGGTGGCTAAGATACATCTGGGTTCAGTGAGAGATGCTCAGAGGTAAAAACTTGGGAGACCTGGTGACTGGGGCTCCAACTCTAGAACCCACCTAACGGTGGAAAGAGAACCCACCCCTGAGGGTTGACACCTGACTTCCACATGTGCTCCGTAGCAAGGCACACACACACACACACACACACACACACACACACACACACACACACGCACACACACACACACACACACACACACGCACGCACGCACGCACACACACACACATACACACACACACGCACGCACGCACACACACACACACGCACACACACGAGAGAGAGAGAGAGAGAGAGAGAGAGAGAGAGAGAGAGAGAGGGGCAGGCACAGAGGCACACACACAGTAATAAATCAACACATTTTTTAAAAAGAGCTACACATCTGTCCTCTGCTCTGGTTACTACAGAGGGAGGGGGAGGCCTTAACAAGGGGGCCTCATGGGCTTTGCTTTGCCAGTTTACACACAGTCCAGAATGCCCCAGATATATTCTGAGCTCCTTTTTTTTTTTAAAGCTCATTTTAAACTGAGCCAACATTTATATTTTTTAAAACAAAAAAGATAAAACAAAATTATAAAATTACTTAAGATACTATTTAACCGTGTTTATTGATTTCTTCGTTGGTACTTTTCTGGTAACCACAAAACTTTAACTTTCTGTGAAGATGATTAAAATGATTTCCTAGGATGTGCCTGGATGCTTGAAAGAGAGGAAACACCGTTCTTGAATTCTGAAACAGCAATACTGGAAAACATGTACATGAAGGAGCTCTTTTAGGCATTCTTAGAAGCGTTTTTTTTTTTCTTTACTTTTCTTTGTTTTGCTATTACACCCATTACAACTTAAAAAAAAAAAAGCTTGGGTGGAGTTAATAACCCTTTACAAATGTTAAACAATAACTGGAAATCCTGAAAATGTATCCTCCTTCATCCAGTGGGAAAAACACTTTAAAGTTGTTTTTTTTCCCCCTAAGAATTGTTTAGCAAAGGAGTTACTAGGTTAGTTTCTATTTTTGACTGAAAGTTCAGTTTTCACTGCCTGAAACATAATGCCATCTGTGCTGCCTTCTCCCTTTAGAACCCAGTTCTTCTCCAGGCTTCCCATATGCATGTATCTGATGCTTCCAACCCAGATGAATGTGGTACTGGAAGTCGCTACATACTTTCATCTGATGGTGAAGTGCTAGAGGTTGGAGCATTGATCATGAAGGTGTAATTCGATTTTTGAATATAAGTCACATCAGACATATCTCCAAATTAAAATTTTTACCATATTATACTCAATAGTTATGTACATTATGCTTATTTACCTACCACCACGGAGGTAGTGGTGACGTGAGGCAAAATGTATATTACAATGTAGTGAGTAGATAGAGAAATGGGTCAGGGCCAGATAGCCAAAGAATCCCAGAACCACTCAAACCCTAGGGTCCTCACATTTATACGAGTCACTCATTCCACTCACACACTTATCCAGAGCAGTAGTATCTTAAATGCAGAAACCATTCAAACATAAAACTTCAGTTTATTAATCAGATGCTTTAAACTATCTTATGTTCTGTAAAGTGATCTGCAAACATAAAAGTCACTATATATTTATATTTGAGCTAATTCTTGTATAAAAATTCATGCTGACCCATGATTAATTTCTTTTTTATCGAATCTTCCATAAGGAAAAAATTCAGATATTTTACTTAGAGTTTCTTTATATTTCAAGGAATTCTTAAACTTCTACTTAAGATCTGTAATGTTTTCATTTTTCATTTCATCCTGACTTTTCTTGTATAACTGATAGTCTTCAAGAGTATCCCTAAATAAAGCTTGGCATGGTGGTACATGCCTTCAATGCCAGCACTCAGGATGCAGAGGCAGGTGCATCTCTTAGATAGAGGCCAGCCTGGTCTACATAGTGGGTTCCAGGCCAGCTGGATTCAAAAAACAAAACAAAACCCAACAAAAACCGAGTATTCCTCAAATCAGATGTGGTTTTTTGGGGTGTGTGTGTGAAGTGTCTGTATTCAAATAGACATGATCCCTAATATGAGATTAAACATAGATTCTAGGCAGTCGTTATGCCAGGTTTTCTGTTTGGGAAACTGGAAGACGTGGCATCTAGTGTCTCAGTGAACATGTCCTATGGCAGCTGGGAAAGCCTGACCTAGACTAATACTTCCTGTTTCCATCTGAACCTTCAGAAGGCAAGAGTTTAGCAGAACTGGCTGTGAACAGAGCAGTTCCCACACCACCCTTACCTGCACTGGAAAAACGAAAGCGAGGACAAAGGCTAGGGTACTGCTGATACCAGAGCCACGGGGGATTCAGAGTCAAAAGAGACTTTTCCCACAGTTCTCTACCTTTCACCTCTCAACTGTGTGGTCAGAGGAACCCACAAGTGTACTCACTTTTCAGTCTTTCAACATAAAGACAAATGCTGCCTCCCCATTTCCCTTCACTTCAAAGTAATATTAAATTCTTAATCCAGCATGGGAAACTGCTTAATACATTCCATGTGGATTTCTAGTTTGTGTGCAGTGTGATTATTTATGACTCAATACTATTCATGCCTATCTTTACTTAGGTTCTAAATTTGTTTTGAGTTGCTTTATATATGTATATATATAACTGATATTTCATATTGTAGCTGTTTTTTATTCATAACCTCTCATTTTCCTTTACTAGTAAATATATTAGACAAATCAATACATGGATGGTAAAATAAACTGGTCATCATTAAACAATAATTGCTAGCTTCTACATTCTTCAATACAACAGACAAAAGCACATCATTGAACATGTTAAAAAATATCAATTTTCAATAGTATAATGAATACTTAAAGCATTACCATAATACACAAAAACTGAACAATAAAAGAATACTTTTAAATCTCTCTTCTAATAAAGGTGATTTTTATTAATGTGCACATCTGTCAAATAATACAACATTCTAGGTAGTGATGAATTTTTAATCTATAGTAAAGACTAAGTCAAAAACTAGTTTTGTTGCTGTTGTTTTTCATTTTTATGACAGATTCTCACTGTGTAAGCCAAACTGGTCTAGAACTCACTATGTGACCCAGGCTGGTCTCAAACTTGTGACAATTCTACCTCAGCCTCTCAGGCATGAGCCCCACATCTTGCACCAATCTTAACTCTCTTGTCACACTTGTAATTTAATGTTCCTTCAAAACATAATTGAACAAAGGAAAGAACGAGACTGATCACCACTCACGAGAGAATATTCCCAATGTAGGCATAGTAGGAGCAGCAGTAGGGCGTGTTCCCATCACAGCAGTAAGATCTGCATTCTTTACCACACTGCGCAAGGCAGCCATCTGCAAAGTGAAAGTAAGAGCAGTTGAAGTTGGGAAATCATAGTTTAAGGAAAAATTATTCTCTTCCTGTCTTCTCAGTCAACCATTTCTTAAGTAGTTTAGTGTTCATTTCATGCTTTATATCCCAAAACACTGTTAAAGGTTGAAATGAACCTTTCCGCCCAGTGAGGCTCTAAGCTGGTAAAGACAAAGCCATTCTTCTCAAAGCTGCTCCAAGCACTATAGCTGATAGCTGGGTTTGGGTGAATAAGATTGTGATGGAAGGAAGGACTGGATAGACTCATCTGTCAATCAAGTTGTCAATAGAGTTGTTGTCATAGTTTCCAGGTGACAAAGTTTCCTGACTTTAAGGTGTTATATTCTCAATTAATTTCAATTACTAAAAAGTGTTGTTATTGTGGGTTATGCCAACAATTAGCATTAAAAATTGATGTGTGTATTTGCCATGAAAATGGGTTAATGCTTTTCCTTTTATGCAGTTTTATCTTCATAATTATAATGTACTTACAAAAAATTAAAAGTTTACCTAATGTCATATTGAAGAATCACAGGCTATTAAACAGCACAATGTAGAGGAAGAAAATGAGTTTTCTGATTTAAAGGGTATGTTGGACCCAAAAGTCCACATTGCTTTTCTTTATGTGCTTTTTTTTTTTTTTTTTTTTTTTTTTTTTTTTTTAAATTATTTATGGGGCTGGCAAGATGGCTTGGCAGTTAAAAGCACTGGCTGCCCTTGAAGAAGACCTGGGTTCAATTCCCAACACCCATATGGTAGCTATGGAACCCATATGGAGTTATGGAACTGTCCATAACTCCAGTTCCAGGGACATCCTATGCCCTCTTGTGACCTTCATGGGCATTACTATTTTATTCATTAGTTTTACAATTTGTGTATGAATGTATTGCTTGCATGTACGTAAGTGCACATGCCTGCAAAGCATACAGATGCCAGAAGAGGGTGTTGGATCTCCTGGAACTGGAGTTATGGATGGTTGTTAGCTGCCATGTAGGTGCTGGGAATTGAACCTGGGTCCACTGGAAGAAGAGCAAGTCTTCTTAACAGCTGGGCCATCTCTTTAGCCCTCTATATGCTTTTCAACAAGGAAAATTATACCAAATTATTTAATAAAACATTGTAGCTTTAACAAACTATTTGATCTGAACAATTTATTTTAAAGTGTGAGGTAATCATTGAGCTATGATCAGCAATATAAATTACGATGCACCTGTGATTTTCAGGCATATATCAGAAAAATACTACGGTATGATTATTTAAGTTGTACATTCAAGAAGCACAAAAAGTCATTTACAACTTTAAAAGTAATATGAATTGAATGTTATAAATTATATGAAATATTTGGTTTCCTATTTCAAAATTACACTGTTCAATGTACAAAATAATTTATTATTCGTGTCCACATGTTCTTGCCGTGATTTATCTGGAGAAGAAAAGTTTAGGGTACTTTTAAGTCACAACCTTCTAAGACTTAATCAGTAAGTATCAAAGTCCATATGGCTTTATCAGTAATGTGTGGCTTTTGTAGAACTAATGAGCAAAGTTTTATTTTCTTCTCCTTAATTTTACTTCTACATCACAGATCAACAGCATGTACCTCAATGTTATCTTCTAGATTATGGTTTAAAAAAAAAAAGGGGAAAACTATTTTTGCGATTCTACTTAAATCTACTTTTAAGGTAAGAACACAGATCGCTCAGATCCAAGGGAAAAGCTAATGTACTGCTAATAAGAACTTTTGAGTGCTTATTTTTGTTTCGTTTTGTTTCTCTGATATACTTTCATGTAGCCCAGCCATGAAGGCCCAGGATGACCTTGAACTCCTGATCTTCTTCTACCTTCCAAACATTGGGGTTACAGGACCGTGTCCCAGTTCTCAGCGAGGACATCCCACTCTTTAAGGCTCCTTAATTGATGGTTTTGTCAGTGAATTTCTGCAGCTCTCATTTTTAGTCTGTTTAGTTGATTCAATTATTTAGATGAGTCAGTTATTTCAAGAGCTTAGCAGGCAGGGATGTGTTGCCTTTGTCCTTTAGAGCCACACACAGGTGTTAAGTGTGGGTAAAATCTAAACTCCATAAAGAAACCAAAAGAGTAACAGTAGGCATGAAGAAGGATGGGGGTGTAGGGAAAAGACCACATGGAGCATGGAAGAGGGAAAGAATCTGGGAAGGGGGCATTACGAGGGTTGAAAGGCAGCAGAAGGTCAGGAAGATAAGGGGAAAACAAAGTACACTTTGTTTGAAAATGTCATAATGACGTCTAACACATTACGTGCTGATTAAAAAAAAAAAAAAGACAAAAAAGCCCACTCAGATCATGAGAGAAATCTCTTTTCCTCTAGTAGATAGTAAAACCATCAATGTGTAAGGAACTTTCTGGGTGTTCTTTGAATGGTGCCCAGTACAGTGACATCCTATTAAACTTCCCATAAGAACCAATGATTCAATTATCACTAATCCACTCCGATTACTACTGTTAGAAGGACATGATGGTATAAAAATATTGTGAGCCAACATTACAGGAAGCCAAGCCTCAAATTTCATAGCCAAGAAGCTGGCTCATTCCTGCACTTTCACAGTATTTTCTAGCACCGTTGTTTACTTCCTACGAAGAAGGAAAATCTAATAGCATGACAGATGTACTTGTGACCATAACCTTTCCAAACGGAAGCTTCCTCAAAGCTTTCTTTGCTGTCCTAGTTACTATGTCTTCTTTGAGAACGGTTTGATGAAGATCAGAGTTTTGACAACAAATGTTTGTGAAAGAATGGAACATTCCAATTGTCTGTGGAAGATAAATAGTATTACTTTGAATATTCAAGTTAATATGCCTGAAGATGAGTTCAACCTTTCTTCAACTGCTTTTTAATTAACAGTGTGATCTGGGAGGTTTCCTGGCACACCTGCCAACCCCACCTCTACGAGTGCTGCGAGGTTATCTGGCTTGCAGCACTTGCTTAAATAGGCCTCTTGCCAGCTACAGCTAAGGATAAGCAAGGAAAGAAAAGGAGAGGAGGGGCAGAAGGCACGGGCTTAGGCCCAGAAGGTGAAACCTTGACTGAATGCCGTCTCTGTAGCCTGCAGTGGGAGTTGGACAATAGTGTAAACACTTCATTCGGTCTCTTTCTAAGCCTTACTCCACACAAATTATACGTTAGCTATAGAAAAACTTGCTTTTGTTTACTTAACAAAATGGAACATGAACTTATTGCATTTGCTTTGTGCAAATACAACTAGGTTTTGGACAATATCTATTTAGGGTTTTGCATGTCTCTCTCTCTCTCTCTCTCTCTCTCTCTCTCTCTCTCTCTCTCTGTGTGTGTGTGTGTGTGTGTGTGTGTGCCCACACTCTCACACACTGTGACGCAACGCATATCTCTCGCAATGTCACAGTATTTTTCATGAACTTATTGCATTTGTTTTGTGCATATACAACTATGTTTTGGACAATATCTATTTAGGGTTTTGTATGTCTCTCTCTCTCTCTCTCTCTCTCTCTCTCTCTCTCTCTCTCTGTGTGTGTGTGTGTGTGTGTGTGTGTGTGTCCCCACTATCATGCACTGTGAAACCAGGAATTCATCTAGCAGAATGTCTGAACTTTTATTTCTGTGGTATCCTGGCATCTAGCCACAAGGCACACTTAAAGTTGTGTCTCTTAGTTCCAACCCAACTGAGTTATCCATTTTTATATCTACCTATCTTACAAATTAGAGTCCATTAAATACTATATCCTCCTGCCTTCTTGGTCCAGGCCTTCCTTATTCTCTAAGTATCTTGTTTCTCCATGTTCTCCTGAATTCAGCTTTCCTGAATGCATATTTATTGATACCTTCCATGATCCAGGAGCCTTGCCAGTCTGCGAGACTGTTTTTTTTTAAACAAAATATGCATTATCCTAAGGAACTTACTCTTATAAACCAGCAATTAGGCCCCCTTCTTTGAATAACTATAGTACAAGATTGTACCTGTCCTCTGACATAGACTGTTCCACATTCAATTGATCTATGAGCTCACCTCATTTCCCAGAGAGAGCTCAGAGCATGACTTCTGTTCTATTCTCAAACAAATATGGTGACCTTAAACTGCCTCTGAAAAAGGAGACCCAGGACTTTTCATCAAAGAGCTTGTAGGCTAAATATTTCTATGCAAGATAGCAAGTCAACCTAGTATTGCCCTGTGACTGTCTTGTAGACTATCAGATAGGGATCCAGTAGAAAAAGCTTGAAGTGAAAACTGTCTATAAAAGCCACTTTACTGTTGGCCAGCTGTGCCTGTTGCCAGAACCCTGGAGGGCCTGGGCACCTAGCCCTGAGGGAACTGGAGAAAGGGGAAAGCAGGTGTGCAAAGCAGCAGCTTTTCAGTCCTCCACGGGGAACAGACCCAGAAGAAGAAAATCTTGAGGCTCAATGAAAGTTACAGAGTTAGAGTAAGTGATGCTATTAAAGTTTCTTTTGCTTTTTCCTATTTTCTTATTTCTGTGTTCTTTTGATAAACAGAAGCAGTGAGAAGAATCACCATTGCCTCAAAGGAAGTAATAGATTTTAATGTAAAACAAAGAGTAATATAATTGATATTCAGTCCCTCAAAACTGTAAAACCATATATAAAATTTAAGTAAAAGAAATTGTACAGATTAAAATGTGAATTTTCTTCATTAATTAAACTACCTTCCCCATGTTTCTTTATTTTTGTATTAGAAAGTCAGTTTTTTTCCTATCTTATTTTTAAAATGACAATGTTTAGATATCTATTAATTTTGATTTTTAATTTTTTTTAACTTGGGGGACAGAGTCTCATGCATTCCTGACTGATTACATCTTACTATGTAGCAGAGGATGACCCAAAAAATTTTGATCCTCCTGCTTCAGCCTCCTCAGTGCTGGATGGCAGTCATGGCCCATCAAAGCTGGCTTATGCAGTGCTGGGCACAGAACTCAGTGCTTTTGTGTATGTTAGGAGAGTACTCTACCAACTGACCTTATCTCTAACCCCCTAATTTGTATTTTAATAAATGAAAATTTTCTATAGAAGTGGCTACTCCTTTCTGGCAAAGTGGGATGAGAAATTTGATTATTTTGATGCCACAATGCAATTCAGTTCTTTTGTATAACTAACAGTGGTGAAGAACAACTTGATTTCAGTGTCAGTATCCTTGCAAGTGTCAAGACTAAAGCACAGTGCTGTTTACCAGCTTCCACTGCAGGCTCACAGGTAAGCCTGTGGCTTGTTGTCATAGGAGATTAGAGACACAAGACTTATTACAAAGAACTTAATTTTAAGCTTGCGCTATCCTGTGAACCCGAGGAACAGATGTAAGAACCTAAGCACATATGTAATTAACTTTATACTTGGATAAATAGTGAAAGGCCATGTAAGGCTCCCTGTCAATCACAGCAAGAAAACCAATTTGTTTCATTAACTATTAGCAATTGTCACTAAGAATAATTCTGAGAAAAATGAGAGGCCTTCACAAACAGGAGTTTATACCCTTTTCATCCAATGGCTGGACTTCCCGTACTTGTGGGTCTGCTAAAGAACACACAAAAAAATCTAAAATATTTCATTTCTAAAAGAGAAAAACTGGAATATTCTGAACAGGGAAGGTGAAGGGAGAGGGAGCAGCCTAGGGCAAAATGCAAAAGTCACTAAGTTTATTTTGAAAAGCTCCATCAAACACCTTCAAGTTTCAGGTACTTTTTTTTTTTTTTTTTTTTTTTGTCTTTTTGAGACAGGGTCTCCCTGTAGCCCCAGCTGTCCTGGAACTCACTATGTAGACCACGCTGGCCTTGAACTCACAGAGATCCGACTGCCTCTGCTGGGTCAGGTACTTTTAATATGCTTCTTTTCACCGCTTAGTTCCACCCCCCTCAACCCAGATTTCTCTGTAGTCTTGAATGTGTTTTACGATGGTCAGATTAAAATCCCAACCCAGCAGCTGCTTTGCAACAGGAAAGAAGGCAAAAATGCGAGCTGGAAACATTAAAGGGATAAGGGCTCCAGCACTCGAAGTATGTTGTCTCTTCCTGGCCAACACACAATCACTGCCCTCCGACAGTCTGGCGTTGGTTCCCAGTACCTGGACCGTCCGACTGGTGCCCCTCTGTCACTGACCTGCGTAGACAAAGAGCAGAACCAACTTCGGAAGCAAGACCCCTGGACGCTGGGGCAGCCTCGACGAGTCCATCCAAGCCGGTGACCCAAGTGTTTCGCCAGGACAGACAGACCGACAGATGGGCGGGCAGAGGGAACCCAGATGGATGAAGAGGGTGGAGAGCGGTCAGATGGACAGAGCTGCGCTCCCGAGAGCCGGATTCCACCGAGTCTTGCCCATGACCCAGGAGTCCCGGGAAGAAGTGCGTCCCTGGCAGAGGTAAGTGCAGGCTGCTGGAGTGGTCCCCACCCCGCTGAGCTGCGAGGTCCCGGCTGAGCTGCACCTCTGTTTGGCCCACTGCACTTCCTCAAGCTAGCAAGAGGCAGCCACTCTGGCGTCCTGGGTCACCCAGGCTCACATTTCATCTCTGCGGGTGGCACCATCAGGGGCGGGGTGGGGAAGTGACAGATTCCTCCTCGCTGGCTGAGCTTTCCTCTATAGAAATGACAGGGCGATGGCCCAGTCCGGAAGGAATGTTTTCTAAGGAAGTTGTTTGGCTTTTGCAGTGGAGTTTAAGCAACCCTCCAGCCCTTAATGTAATGGATGAACAATTCAGCATCTCATCTTTAAACAAATGAGGGGTTTCAGATTTAAAGGTAATTGCACCATGAGCGCCAATGAGTACAGTTCAGAATTAAACTCTATGAATATGACATCTCTGCTGAAATCGGATAAAATATATATTTATTAAATACCTGAAGAATTTCCAGCAAATCGGGGAAAATAGAACAAAAAGGTATTCTGCCCCCAGTGTTGCTCTGGAGTTACTTACCTATGCAATTAGGTAAGAGAAAAAAAATTATAAAAATGAGGAATAAAAATTATCATTAGCAAATGAGGGGTTCACTCATGCAGAAAATCAGACATTTCTAAAGCTGTTTTTATAAATCAATTTTTTTCCTGAAAATAAAAATCAGAAATCTCTCAATATGATACAGGAAGGGAAGCAGGAAAATGAGTGGAAATGCTTCTCTTGACCAATAGCCAACATCGTAAAGAATCCCACAATTATTCCTCAAATTTGAGGGTGAAATATATCTCAATAAAAATGCCAACATGAAGTTTTTCAGGCAAACCTGATTTCGAGGTTTGTGAAGAAACTAAATATGCAAGGATATCTATTTTAAAATTAGAGGAATCAATGGAATTAGCTTCAGTAGATATTAAATATATATTATAATGTCACAATAATTAAAACAATTTGGAACAACATGGGAATAAATATGCCCAACGGAAGAGAAGCTTCTGAGAAAGGAAAGCCTTGTACAGCTCAAAACACTGGTCTAATGACTTGCTTTCTAGCTTGCCATCATCCAAAAGATTTATATTGAAATGCTTGAATACTTACCCTATAGTATACGTGCATGATATACATTTTTATGTATGAGAAATGAGAAACCTTAGAGGACATAAAAGTTTCTGGAAATTAAAATAGAACTTGGCTTGAGATTTTCTTAAATGCACAGGAAACTATTATGAAACAATCACAGATGAAAAGTAACTCGGCTTATTAGATCAAACAGATCAGATTTCATAACCTAAAAATATTAAAACCTCAAAGATACACAGGGGAGACCAAGTTGACAACAATATGCAGCTAGAAGCAGTTTCAGAAGAAAAAGCAAGGAAATCAACATTAGTTTCTTATGTAATTCTAAGCAATAATAACATTTTGACTCTTAGATTTAAAATGGGGAATTCACTGGAGCTAGAGAGATGGTTCAGCTATTAAATAGAGCACTTGCTGCTCTTACAGAGGACCAGGGTTCAGTTCACTGCACCCATATGACTGCCCACAATTGCCTGTAACTCCAGTTCCAGGGGATCTAAGACCCTCTTATGGCCTCCTCAGGCACTCAGTACACATGGTGTACATGCATACATACATACATGCAAACACCCACACTTATTAAATAAAAATAAATCTTTAAAAACAAAAAATAAAACAAAATGAAGACTTATAAAATAATGTTTTGAAATTTTTTTGATATAGAAACATCTTAGAGACCTATTTGAGCAAATACAAATTTAAAATAATATAAATTTTTATGTTTAATTTTCAAAAAGTGTACTTAATAATAAACTTCTTATTTGCAGCTTTGGAATTTAAAAGAGAGAGACTACAGTCTATGAACCCTAGTTCCAAATGAGAATATATTGATATGTGAGTCTTATCGCTCTCGACTCCTCCCCTCCATTTTTCTCCCATCCTTTTTGCTCCTTCCCACTAATCATCCTGGGACTGAACCCAGAAAGTCAGACATTTTTGGTAAGTGCTCTGCTACTGAGCTATAGCCCAGTTCCTTTTCTTTAACGTTTCTTAAAAGATTTGTTCTGTTTCAGGAATTTTTCATATACTTTTACATTAAACAATAATAGTGCATCACTAGTGAGTTTTTAACTTTATCTTTTCATGAGTAAAATCTTTTAAAAATCATGCTAATAATTCTAAAATCTATAATAGTGCTCTTACTACATTATAGTTTAAAAGTATGGTGTTGAAACTTAGTGTGTATCAGAATATGTTTCAGTTGTCAAACTGATATCAGTGGCTCTAAACCCAGTTCAGGAGGTCAGAGGTGAACCTGAGAATCTGCATTTCCACAAATGACCACAGTGAGAAACACTGTTAGAAAATTCTGACAGGGCTTCTTGCCCCTTGCATCCAGCTACTCCTGAGATAAGCAAGCAGGGTTTAAAAAAATGATATTTAATTGATCCATAATAATTATATGTACTCATGGGGTACAATATGGTGTTTTGATACATACACATATGCAATGAGTGGTGATCAGATCAGGGTATTTAGCACCTCCATCCTCCCAAGCATTTATCAGTTCTTGGTGGTGAAACATTCTCTTTTGACTATTTTGAACTATACAGTATTGTCAACTGTTGTCAGCCTACTGTGCAGTATGATCCCAGATTTACTCCTTGTATCTAGCGGGCTGACTCCTTCCCCATGGTGCCCTCCTCAGTGTATGGTAATCACTATTTGATTCTTTCCATCAGCACCATCATTCATCCTAGGTTCCCATGAGTACAGAGAGCTGATGGTTCTCTCACTGTGTCTCACTATTCCATTTAACAGAATGCCCTCCATGTTCATTCTTATTGCAAATGATAGGATTCCATCATTTGTATGGCTGAAAGGCATCCCATTGTGCATACATATTACATTTTCTGTGTATATTTATCCATCGATGGACACTTTGGCAACTGTGAATTGTGCTACAATGTCCACTGGAGAATAGATGTCAGGAAGATGGACGTTTTGAATCCATGCTTCTATTCCTAGCCTTATGACTGTGTCTCACCATATTTGACTATTAACAGCCTTGAAAGCCACATTCTAAATGTGTTCATTTTTATACTTCAAAAAGATTTATGAATAGCACAGAATATAAAGTGGGCTTTGAGCTTTTGGTGCTTTTTCCCCATTCCATATTGCCACCTGACCTTTGCTCATGAAATATGGGAAAAGAAAATTATGTTCAAACAATGTACTTTGGAATAGTGATTTCGTTTTAAATGTCTATAGGGAAACTTTGTTTCTGCAATTCATTTTGTGTCTTAAAACACTGTAGTTTAAGAACTTCACGGTCTTGAGAAAAATGTTATTTCTGTTAAGCACATGACATAGGCTATGTAAAATTATTTCAGTCATGCAATCCAACATTTCTTTTCATTCATGGAAGAAGACCCAAAATTTGTCCCTAGTAAAAGAAAAACACAGGACAAATGGAAACTTTGTTGCTTGAATATTTTCTATTTTGAATATTTCATATTATGAATATAACCTATTTATCTTTATGTTTTGAATGCTCTTCTGTTTTTCCTGTCAGCTGTGACACTTGTATACACTCAAGATGATTATAAAATGGCATTTGTTTGTGTGTAATTTTCTTACTTTGTATCTGGACATTGTGGTGGCTAATCTCAGTTGTCATCTTCACTGGATCTGGACTTGATTAAAATGACTGAGACTTTCTTGATTGGATTATCTGAAATCAGAAGACCCACCCTAAATGTGGGCTTTACCTTCTGATGGCAGCCCATATTAAAGGTCACGGCAGAAGGGAGTTGTGCCATTCCTCTGCTGATAGTAGAATAAACTTCTTGGGATTACAAGAAGACTGAGGACTAGCAGACCTCCAGCGCCAGATTGGGACTGCTGAGACATCTAGCCTCATGAACTGAGCATCTACTGGACTCAAATTCTTATATATGGACTTTATCTTCTGTTTCCTTAGAGAACCCTGACCAATACAGACATAACGTCAGAGAGAAAATTTTCAAGAGAAATATCAGAGACACCACATTTCTTACCTAGAGTCATCTGTTTTTAACATTTTGTTCCATTATTTTTTTTGTTCCTTTATTTTTTTCACTATTCTATCTCTATACTTGTCCACATATGATTTTTCTGAAAGTTCAAGAAAATATTGCATATACTGTAATTTTTTCCACTTAAAAATTTAATGTGTGAGTTAAGGAGGTACCTCAGTCAATAAAGTGCTTGCTTTACAGGTACAAGGGCCTGAGTTCAATCCTCAGAGCTTACTTTTAAAAAGCTAGACATGGTAGCTGGAGTGATAGTTCAGCAATCAAGAGCACTGGATGCTCTTGCAGAAGACTCAGGTTTCATTCCCAGCACCCACATGGCAGCTCAAAACTGTCCATAACTCTAGTTCCAGGGTATCTGACACCCTCTTCTGACCTCTGGGGGCATTGCATGACATGGGTGCACCTACTTATATGCAGGCAATACAATAATACACAAAATAAAAATAATAATATATAAAAAGACCAAAAAAAAAAAAGGAAAAGAAAAAGAGCCAGATATGGTGGCTCTAGATAGTAATCCTAGCCCTGGACAAGTGGACACAGGTGAATCCCTGGGCATTCTAATTAGCTGTCCTAACCTACTTGGTGAATTCCAGGCCAGTGAAAGACCTTTTGTCAAAAACATGGTAGAACATATAACCAATGTTGTCCTTTGGCCCCTGCATGCATGCACATACAACTGCACGTGAAGCCCCCCCCCCGGCCCCACACATAAACTTGATTACACAGAAAGTCACAGAAGGGGAAGGGAGAGAGAGAGAGAGAGAGAGAGAGAGAGAGAGAGAGAGAGAGAGCCCAGCTAAATTTTCCTTTCCTACCAATGTACAGTCTGTGGACACACATTAAATCATGCAAATATACTGCTCCTTGGGAAATTTTCCACCATTACATTTAATGTGTGTTAATGAATTATACTTAAATGATCATTACTATGATAATTACTAGATAATATTTTTTCAAAAATTACAGAGTTCTCTGCTTGTTCGCCAATTGGCATTTGACATTTGACATAATGTTTTCATAGGTATGGACT